CCCCAAATTCAGTCGGGGTATCCCAGGGAACATAGGGGTTACATTGTCTCTTACCTGAGCCTCACAGTGTGTGGATGAAGCCGTGGTATGAGCCTGTTGCCTTGTGGTTACCGGGTGTGCCTCTTGGAGTGGGGCTTGTGGTACAAAAGCGGAAGTCATTCTGCCCAAGTCGTTTCCCGATACGAGATCTGCTGGTAGTTTTTGCATCAGGCCCACCTCTACTAGCCCTTCCCCCACACACCAATTCAAGTGTACTTTTGCGGTTGGCAATCGGTACATCGCTCCCCCTGCTACTCGGACTGCCACGGATCCGCCTGTGTGTGCCGAGCCTAGAACCAAATGAGGTGCTACTAGAGTCAGAGTGGCCCCCGAATCTCGGAGCCCTTGTACTTCTTTCCCCTCCAAGGTTACAATCTGGCGATGAGGGTGCCTATTGTCTGTGGCTTGTACAGACATCACATCATGCAGTATTCCCAGGGGCTCTTCTGTGTGATTAAACATTAGCTCCTGGGGTGCTAGCTCTGCTTGGTAGTGGTGCGCGGCTGCTCGTGGTGCTGGGTTCGGTCGTACTTGGCTCCATGCTTGACGGCTCTGGTTCTGCATACACTCTCTCGCCATGTGGCCTCATTGCTTGCAGGTATGGCATTGAATGTTAGATCGGCCATTGTATCGGGACGGTGAAGTTTGCCCCCCAGTTGCTGGCCGGAATGGGGTTGTTGTGGGTGCGGTAGTAGTAGCTGTAGGAGGTTGGGTGGAAGGTTGAGGATACCCTCGATTGAGGGTACCATAATGTCTCCTGGCGTCATAGTGCTGGTCTGCCATTCGTGCAGCTTCTGCTAGGGTGAGGGTTTTTCTGTGTCTCACCCATTCTTGTGCCTCTGGTGTCAGACCAGTTGACGTAACTCCTCCATGGTGGTAGCTTGGCTAGCTTGTATCCACCCCTGGGAGGCTTGATCCAGCTTGTGTGCCCACTCTGCATGGGAGTCTTTATCTTTTTGCACAGTCCTTGAAACTTGCATCGGTATGCTTCTGGGGTAATGGCATATCTCTCCAATATGGCTTGTTTTACCCTGGCATAATTTTTGCTGTTCTCTCTGGGCACGGCCCGATATGCTTCTGCTGCCCAACCTGATAATTTGACTACCAGTAAAGGTACCCACACTGCTTGCTCCAGATCATGCAAGTCACACAGTCTCTCAAAATCCTGTAGATACCCATCAATCTCATCTTTGTCTTCACAAAACATTTTAAAAGCATGATGCGGTAACTTGGGCTTTACCTGGCTGGTGACTGAAGCAGCGGTAGATTCTGCTCTGGAGGGTGAATCCTGCAATCTGTGTACCATCACATACTCTTGAACATCCGCCATCAGTACCATCAGTACCGTCAGCATTTCCAGCGGTACTGGCTGGGGTAGGAATTCCAGCCTGGTTCTCATCTCCTTCTGGAATGGGGTCTCTTCCATGTCTGGTGGGGGTGTAGCGCTGCAAGCTCTGTCTCCCTCCATCAGTTCAGCAATAAGTACAGCCTTCGACTTATTGCTGGCTATCTTTACAGGGGTTATACAGTAGAGGACTACATGCAGGACATTTCTCCCACCATGCACTGCTGTACGAGAGGGATACTCCGACAAGAATATCCTGTTAAGTGGATTATCCCTCCGTACAGCAGAACTGGCTTTTCACACAAAAATCTGTAACTTATACTTATACTTTATTCGTGCCATTGTACCGAATGACCGTTCAGCAGATAGCTGGGGTCTGAGTGCACACTTTGTGAAAGTACCGCTCAGATCCCAGCACAACTAACCAAATGCCACACAAAATACATTTTACCACCAACTTTTCAGAACGGCCTGGAAGTCCAGCGGTGTTCGCGCCATCGAGTAACCAATTTTAGTTCCAGGCACCCGACGACCAAACCCTGCTGGGCTAAAAAGAAATCCAAGATGGCCACCACTGTGTGGTCGGTATCCGAATGACGGCCACCCGGGAAATCAATTAGCAGCCAATTGATACAATGTTGCAATCGGTCAATGGTTCCCACACGACCCCCTGTGTGTGGGCTCCCATTCGGTACTTTGTTCGTTTCACGAACAGTGTGGAAAGTCACTGTTCGTGAAACTCCCATATGAATGCTAGCGGCTTTCGGCCGTTAGCATACGAATGCTCTTTCTTACAGTTATAAGCGAATACATAAACTAACAGAATTGGACCAGCTTTTCTAGGACAACCTGTAGACATATAACAGCATAATCTGAAGTGGCTAGGTTTGCCACACACACACAGACACACATATTAAAACATTCGCAGATACATACTGACACACATATACACTGACACACAGATATATACTGGCAGACATATTGACACACATTTAGACATACTGACACACACACAGACACACTTACATAAATACACACAGACACATACACTGACAGATATACAGACACACACACAGACACATACACTGAAAGATATACTGACACACACACAGACACATACACTGACAGACGTATTGACACACACACAGACATACTGACACACACACAGGCATTCTGACATACACACACACAGACACACTGACACACACAGGCATACTGACACACACAGACATACACACAGACATACTGACAAACACACAGACAGACATACTGACACAAACACACAGAGACATACTGACAGACATACTGACACACGCACACGCATACTGACATACACACACAGCCATACTGACATACACACACAGACAAAAACAAACACAGACATACTGACATACATTTAGTCACCCTCCAGGTTCTTACCTTTTTTTGGAGGGTGTTTTCCCTGGGGTCCAGTGGCAGGCTGAGGCAGTTGGGAGTTATCCTCTAGAACTCCCCTCCTCCCTGCCATCCTCCTGTAACGCGGCTCTGATCTCCGGTGGGAGGAAGTGACGCACGGCACTCACTTCCTCCCAGCCATCTGCCGAACAGGAAGGTACCCAGTCGCGCTGTTTAAGCATCACAGCGCCTGACCAGGCCCCTGCTCTAAAACATGCCCACCGGGTGGCCCTTAGTGCATGGGCCACCTGGGGGCCTCCTTAGTGTGCGGCTCTGTGCAGCCACACCACCGAGGATACGCAAATCGCAGATGCTCTGGGGCAACTGGGCCCTGGGCACCTGTCCTGTTGGCCCTGCGTTAAAGACAGTCCTGGTTATAATCCCAAAGAAATTAAAGTGAGAGATGCAAGAAAATAAAAATAAGTAAAATACACAAGAAAAGACAAGTACAGTGAGTGTACTTGTATTGTATTTTGTGCCAATAAAGTTACTGTGAACAGTGCCAATGCTAGGATTTTTGACTACACAGTGGAAGATGCATTTTGCCTCCTCCTGTGTTCCTACCAAATTATATGCATCTTAACCTGTGTGTCCCTTAACTCTCCTCTTGACTTTTTTAGCCCCTCTGGTGTTTCTAATCCTTTGTTTGAATGACTTACCCCTTTATTATATCTTATACCCTATTTCTTTTCTTTGTGTGTCTCTTAAACTGCCCCATTGTGCATCTCTTGCCCTTGACCTAGGCTTTTAGTCTGACTATTCTATCCATTAAGTCTGGCCAGATAATACGGGCTATCTCTTAGGTTTTTGGGGTTTGTGTGTTAGGGTTCCTTGTTGCCGTGACATCAAATAGGGAATATGAGCCCTGCAGATCTTAAGCAACAGATACCTGCCTATGGTTCACATATGGATGAACTGAACCATCGCATGGACCACTTCACTCAGGCCTTGCAAACTATTTTAGTCCGCGCTCCCTATTTGCAACTTGAGACACAAGCAACCTGCTGTTGCTCTTTATGCAATTTCCAGAGCATTAAAACCTAGTCCTTCTAGACAAGCAGAAATGGGTATTTCTATGTCTTCTGCCTAAATTTCTTAATCCTGAAACACCTGCCTTTTCTCTACTTTAGTTCCGTCAGTGAGTCAAGAACATGCAGACATGTTGATTGATTCTGGGGCAGCAGAGAACTCATTGACTTCATTGAGGCCATTGATGGTAGAACTCTTTGTACACTTGACATCAGGGCCGGACTGGGAAAAAAATTAGGCCCGGGCATTTTTTTATCACAGCGGCCCACTAAGAAGGGGGCGGGGCAGACAGGGTGTGTTTTGTCATCACTCATGACAAACACGCCCCCTCTCAAAGTGAGCATGTTGGTTCAATGCTCTTCCAGGGCAGACAATGCACAGAGCTCTGCTGAAGAGCTCTAGCATGAGAAAAAAGCCCTGTATTTGTTCTGCGTAGTGCAAGCAAATTTAATAACATGCTTGCACTGTGTTTCCTTGCAACTTGTCTCTGGTGTCTCTATAAATGGATACCAGGAGACAAAAGGGCCAGGAAAGAGTATTGTGCATGTGTTTGGAGCCTGCTTGGGGTATTGCATGTGTGCAGAGTGAGCTGGTCGTGGTATGGTATTGTGTAATAAGGTCGGTTTTAGTCGTGTTGTGTTTGTGGTGTAATGTAATGCATATGTGGCTAGGGGATGTAGCAAGTGTGTGTATACAGGCTATAGTGTGTGTGTGTGTGTGTGTGTGTATAGGTGATGTAGTGTTTGTAGAGCGTGTGTATTCAGGGAATGTAGTATATGTTTGCTTACAAGGAATCTAGTGTGCGTATAGGGGATCCAGAGTGTGTGTGTGTGTGTTTGAAGGACCCAGAATATGTATAGGAGATCTAGTGAGCGTGCGTATATAATGGATTCAGAGTGTATATAGGGATCTAGTGTGTGTATGTGTGTAGATGATCCAGAGTTAGGTAGAGGATCTAGTGTGTGTCTGGAATGAAATGTGTTTAGGGGTGCTATGTGTGTGTGTGAGGGGTGCTGTGTGTATATTTATATGTGTATATATATTATATAAATATGTTTGGAAGTATTGTGTATGTGTGTGATGCAGTATATCGGGGGTTGTGTGTGTGTGTATGTGAGGGGTGCAGTATGTGTGTGTGTGATGGATCCTGTGTGTGAGGTGTGGGTGCTGTGTGAGGGTGCTGTATGTGATTGATTTGTGTGAGGGTGCTGTGTATGATGTGTGTGAGAGTGTTGTGAGTGCTGAGTGTGAGGGTGCTGTGTATGATGTGTGTGAGTGCTGAGTGTTATGTGTTTGAGAGTGATGTGTGAGAGTGCTGAGTGTGAGAGTGTTGTGTGATAGTGCTGTGTATGTGTGTGAGAGTGTTGTGTGTGAGAGTGCTGTGTGTGTTGTGTGTGAGAGTGCTGAGTGTGAGAGTGCTGTGTGTTATGTGTGTTGGGGGGGGTAAATAAAGAAATTGAAAAAAAAACTAAGTAGGCATTAAATCCTCCCTCCCTTTTACCTTTAGCCTGGGAGGGGGGGACAGGCACGTGGTGTCTGGGAGGAGGGGGACCGGCACGGTGACATCATCCCTGGTGGTCCAGTGGTGAGTGAACTCTAGCCTGCGGGCTAGAGTTCACTCTCGCGAGATCCGGTCGTTGCCATGGCAACACGCCGGATCTCGCGATAGGAACCCGGCGGAGCTGCAAGATAGAGCTCCGCCGGGTCCTCGCCCTCCCTCCCTAGCCGCAGGTCTGTTTAAATGGGCCGGTGAGGGAGAGCTTTGATCTCCCCACCGGCCCTCCATGGCAAACAGCGGGGCCGGCGCTCGGATAGCGCCGGCCCTGCATAGACCGGCAGGGGAGATCCTGTGACCTCCCCTGCCAGCCTCGGCCCATGGACACCGCGGCCCACCGGGCATTTGCCCGTTGTGCCCGATGGCCAGTCCGGGCCTGCTTGACATTACTCATGAGAAATATCATCTGTAGGCGGTTTACATACAGTGTTTCAAAATATTTTTCTCCTTCCTGTCCCGTAGACCTAGGGTTCCCTTTGCTAGTTTAACACAACCACAACATACACTAGGAATAAGGGGAGATTACTGTTTGGGGTAGAAATGTCTTCTATCTGTATGTCTTCTGTAGTGTCTCTTGTTCTAGTGAAGCTAAATTTGTAAGCAAGCTGTACTGTCTCATAATCCATAATTCAGTTACTAGAATATACTAGATATCTAATATATTCTAAATGCCTACAAGCTAATATGTCACTCAAAAATATGTATCATTTAATGTAATATTAATGAGAAAGGATCCATATATTAATCTGTTAAATATCTAAATCTCCTATAAACCATGTTTAAAAAAGAAAAAAAAAATACATATATTATGTAGTTTACAGAATGTTAAGAAATACGTTTCCTGTCTCGTGTGCCTGGAAGATATTTCCCAGCATGCACCATCTTCATTAATGCTAATCCTTTTGTATCCTAAATGATGCTTATAAATTGCTTCTGTAGCCAATTGAGTGCACACAAATAAAGCTTCTTCTATGATTTCCATAAAGATAAAATATTTCCTAATGAGTGTAAATATTTTAACATTATAGCGGTTAAACGGGCATGTGTGCACAGATTGCAGGGAACATGACGAGGAACATAGTTGCATTGAGATATAAAAAAGTTACATTTGTATGTGTATATATTTTGCAAACATAACTTACTTCATATTAAAGTGGATATTGACTATAACTGCTGCATGAATTGGAAAATTTCTAGGATTAGAAACTAAGTACCATGATAGGGTTGATTGAAATATTAAATCCCCACTGATACTTTGGAGATTTTATAAAGAGATCATCTTTCTAAAAAATGTATATAGATAGTACTGAAATTTCATTGAAAATCAACTGCACAATCAAAATATATCCATAGTCTAATTCAGGACTGCTTTTAACATGGGGCAAACGGGGCAGCTGCCCCGGGCCCAGTTACTCTTGGGGGGCCCAAAGCAACTCCCCCATGGGCAGCACTGCCCTGATCTATTTATTCCTCCCCTCCCCCAATGGGCGTGCACACGAAGGAGGCCCACTGGGTGGCCTGTGCTCTCTGGTGGACTTGTATCAGTAGGGGCCCCGGTTGTGCACCGTGGCCATTTAGCAGTGAGACTGTGCCCCATACTTTTTGGCAGCATAGGAGGAAGTGACAGCCACGAGTCAATTCCTCCCACAAAGAAGAGAAAGCCGCGCGAGAGGGAGGCTCCTCACGCCCATCAGCCTCAGGCACCACACTGAAGCCCAGGGAAGCCACCCTCCAGCAAAAGGTAGGATACTGGAGGGTGGGTTTAAAAATTAAATTTTACATGTCTGTGTATCTCTGTGTGTCATTATATCTCTGTGTGTCAGTATGTCTCTCTGTGTATATGTCTGTGTGTCATTATATCTCTGTGTGTCAGTATGTCTGTGTGTGTGTGTCAGTATCTGTCAGTGTATGTGTCTGCCAGTTTCTGTGTGTCAGTATGTCTGACAGTGTGTGTATCTGTGTACCTGCATGTGTGTCAGTGTGCACCTGTTCATTGGAGCATCTGCATGTGTGTCAGATTGTGTGTCTGTTTGTATGTGTATCGGTGTGTCTGTATCTGTGTCAGTCTTTGTGTATGCATCTGCATGTGTGTCAGTGTGTGTATGCATGTGTTTCTATGTGTGTATATGCATCACAGTGTGTGTTCCAGTGTATTTGTATATGTGCACATATCTCAGCATTCAAACACCAACATTGCATACACGTACACCCCTGCATTCAAACGTCAACACTACATACAAACACACCTCTGTATTAAACACCAAAAGTATATATAAACACACCACTACATTCAAAAACCAACACTACACATAAATGCATGCTTGCATTACAACTCCAACACCATATACAAACACACCCCATTCACACACACATACTCCATACAAAAACATGCTTACATTCAAACACAAAAACACGGCTCAGTGCTACATACAACCCTGCAAGCATGGGAAAATGGTAGAGCCCCAGCTGTCAAAGCAATGTTGGAGTTGCATGACAGATGGGGATCTACCTTTTGGCCAGCATTGAGATTAGGGGTTTCAAAAACATTCTTGCACCAGGGCTCTTTCTACTTTAGTTCTGCCGCTGCGTTGGGGTGGAGGGCGTGACTGAATGTCAGGGATTGGAGGAGGGCAGGGTCGAGGGGGCCCAAGCAAATGCTTGCCCAATGTTTAATATTAAAGATGGTCAGGGGAGGGCTGGCAGCCTCAGACCTGGGGGGCAAATCCTGTCAAGTGGCCCCTTGCACCCCTGAACCAGCTCACCATCCATGCCCACCTTTTCCTGGTTTTATAATGGATATTGATGTTATGCTAATCAGTAGCTCTTTGCCATACCCACTCCTTTGTGGCTCCGACTTTCAATGTTGTTAGAGGGCAGACTGAGAATCTCTGAGCCTGTGCTCTGACTCACTAACTAACCACAAGGGAGAGGATATGATCTAAGGCACCTACTGCTGGTGTGCTCCCTCGCCGCCGCCTGCCTCCTTCCTTCCTCACGTGGCCGATATATTGCTGCAGAGTAGGCACCTGCCATCTGGGACAAGCAGGTGCCTACTCTGCCTGGCTACCTGGCGCACTAGGTGGCCTTGCTCCGCGCGGCACCCCCCTCCTCCTGGCGCCAGGGACTGGCCCTGCAGCGGACGTTTTTTTTATTATTTAGGGCGGCCTGGGGGGCAATTGCCTCCCTGCCCCCCAGACCAGCCCGCCCCTGAAGATGGTCCTGGTCTAATTAGGTATTACTTCATTGTATGTAGAGCCAATTTGTTAATGTAGTTTTTTTGGATCAAACACTGGCTTAAAGATAGAGTGCAGAGAGTAGTTTTAAATGGAGCATCTTAAAATGGAACACAAGTGGTAGCCTCTGGATTGTGTCCTGAGACTGGAAGAAGGGCATTTTCACTTATATTAGAGGAAAGGATTCGTTACAGTAAGAACAAAAAAAGACGTTGAATTCTCTACATAAAGATGTTGTTTTATCACATTATATCGATATTTTATTTAAAAAAATAAAATAAAAAAAAAGGCTTGGATGCAGTCACTTCCGCCAACCACGAACAGGCACCTATATTTCTGAGCCACCAATGAGATATTGTTTAGACATACAGGTATAAGAGGGAAGTTAATTACCCAATAGGGGCTCTACCACAACAGGTCTATATAGGTCATACAATCAATACAAGTCAATCCACGTTTAGGATTCGCCAACTGCACACCATGTGACTCAAAAGAGGAGGCACCAAGAGAAAGACTGAACATTTAAAAGACAAACATTCCTGAGGCTGCATCGCAGCTGACTTTGGAAGCTCACAGACGAGCTGATTTTGGACTTTTATTTGGACTTTGTATACTACATTTCCATTTTTTATTTTAATTATAACTCACAAATTTGTGTTCTAACTTGGATACAATAAATTTATTTATTATACTATTCAAGTCCTTGAAGCCTTCAGCAATCCTTTGTGGGAATTGCTATCCTAGACGTTGGCATACTGCTGAACACCCTTAGAGCCAGGTACTTAAGGCTCTTCACAAGGTGAGCACACTACCTATCATAAGTACATATTTTGCAGTTTTACACAGTACTACTCATCTGGTCTATTCTCCTTCTTTCCCATTCTCTCTGGAAGAATACCATCAAGGAAAGGGGTTTATTACTGCCCAAAGAGTAATAAGGCCTATGTTACGGAGCCAATAACATATAGGCTCCAAATCATGTGAGTGGTTATAGTTACTCAAATGTCATCACTTAATTATATATAAGACTATCTGCACTATATATTTATTTTTCTTTTACATGACTGTTTAATGATTATTTGTAAGACGTTCAATTCAAATTATTAATGGGGTAAGTGAACCCCTTTATCACTTTAATATTTACACAGCGCTCCACTAATTGGTGTATATAGTATACCACACATTTTCTAATATTTCTTGGAGCCTGTTGGGCATTGCTCCCCTCCCCAGGTATCAAGACAAAACGTTCTACATTTATTTGACTACTTCTAGGGGGCTCCAAGGCTCTCCTGGCAGAATAACCACTACAGCACGCTATGGTGTTTGGAGAGTTCATTAAAAAAAGAAAACACTCAATTAAAAAAAGTATTGAAAATAGAGTGGATGGTCTGCACTCTCGGTCTTCATAAAACATAGCTAACGGGACATTCCTCAGGGCAGCATATTATAAACTAACAGACAGTGACATTTATAGGAAGAATAAGTGATACAACTTAAGCCAGGTGTGTATCGCCGGTGTTCACCTGTGTCAATTGCGCATGTGTTCTGGACTTCCCCGCGCACTGTAATGATGTGAATGTGTGCCGGCGTAGAGAGCATGCGTTGTCATGGA